AAAAAAAAAATAAAAAAAAAATATATATATATATATATATAATATTTAATTGTTTTTTAAACTATGTAATATTTGTTGATTATGTAATATTTATAATTTTTTATAATAATATATTAAATAATTATAAATGTATTAAATAAAGTAATTAATAAAGCATTTTATACAAATAAAAATATATACAGTATAGTCAGGCAAAGGTGAGCACTGATTTAGAATCAGTTTGTCTCATATATAATTGTACAAAACAAAATTCAAATTCATACTCAAATGCTTCAAAGTTTCAAAATCATCCTGATGGTACACTTCTGTTTCTTTCCCAAGCTCCCCCCTCAAAAGTCTGTTCTCGGAGTATGTAAGTTTGGCGATTGGGTATGAAATTCCACAAAAAGGGTGGATTGCTTTACGGCAGCAATAAATGCACTAATACAGCCTTCCACTGTAATTCGACAGTGATGTGTTTACAACAGTGAATTCCACTCTTCAACATTGCAAAGATGCACACAACTACATAGAGCTGCTTTAAAGTCCCTCTTTTACCTTGGAGTTCAATACACTTGTGTTTGCCCGAGTTGGCCTGTTCATTGGCTTCCTGCAGTTCTTGGTTCAGCCGCTGGATGACCTTCTCAGACTCACTGGCCTCCACAGTGCTCCTGCTCAGCTCATCTGGAGAAATGATTACACATCCACTGCTGATGACATCTAATGGGAACTATTACATGCATAATTAGACACTATTATGGCGCTCTGCTGTCAGAGAATCACTCTTTCGTCAACCGTTAATGGGTGATCTGTGTCTTGATCTCTGTATCAGCATCAATGATTTGCATTTCAACTTTGCCGGATTGTTCTGCCCTCTGACGAAGTGCAAACCCTGTCTCCAAAGGTTAATTAAATCAGAATGAATCGCATGGTAATTTCCCTGGAGGTCAGAAAATGGGCCTATTCCATGAATTAATAACTTGACTCGGAATAGATCTATCCTAAAAACATAATGTCATCAGTAGGGTTTAAACTGGGATCTGCAAGAAGGATAGCTAGGGTTTTAATAAAGCTGCCATTTGATTAAAAGTTTTAAATGTTCTAATGTTATACAGTGCCATTTCATAATGAATCGGAAAAGTCTTTAGACTGCTATAAAAAAACACTAATGAAGATTTTCAACTGATCTATTGCTCTGTAAATGTTACAGTACATTTACTGGCTGTAATTTAGATTGCCTAAACTTAGAAACAAACCTGCTCCTCTTCCTCTAAATATGGGTTGCTGAAAACCAGGCCATCTTATCAAATGCTCCAGAAAGATATGACCTCATCTTCCAAACTCAAGGGTGCATACCATAAATGGCCATATCAAGGCCATATCATTGCAATCAGAGAGACGGAATTCCAGAAAATTTAACTTCACATGCCTCGCTTGCATGACTAAGCTAAAATACCGAAGCCTGTGGAGGCCAAACACAACTGCCAGACCAGAGAGGATGGAGGCATTAACGTTTCATGAGGTATTGCGGTGGGTAATGTTTATTGATGCCATTCTGCATCAAGAACTCAATCTCTCAGCAGGGTACGAGGACACATAGGAACACTCTGGCCTAATTTATATTCGAGTCTGTGGAGGAGGAAGATAGTCATACAGACAGGAAGACAAAGTCAGACAGACACAATTTCTGTCATGATTAAAGTATTAGCACAGGCTGGAAAACCGTTCCAGCCAAAACCATTCCATTGCAGCTAATGACAGCAAAACTCTGCCAAACTACTTTGCACTCAACTACTGAAGTGCACTGCAAAAATATAGTTATAGCCACATAAAACACATATTTTACAGAAATGAACAAAATAAATATGAATACATTTTATTTATCTCTCTATCTGTCCTTTTGTCCTTGTTAAAAATAATAAAAATGCATTATAGAAATCTTTTATGCAATATTTAAAAAATACATCACAGACACTCCAATTCTGCTCAAAAATAACTAGATTTACATAGTCAAACACTCTATATTTTAGACCCACAGTACTTTGACATACTGTAAACAAAATAAAAAATATATATAAAAAACAAGGTTTAATATCCTATAAATGAATGCCTAATGGGACAGTAAAGCACTATAATATGGTTCAAAACACTTCAGCAACTATAGAAACTCAAGTGCAGTAATGTGATTTTTACCTTTGAAAAGAGACACTTTATTAATAGGATCTTTCAGCTTCTGTTCCTCCATTGTTTTCTCCACTGTAACAAAGGAAGCAATTATGTTAATGTTACTGTAAAGTATTAAGTTCAGCTATTTTTTTTAGATATCATAGTAATTGGCTTGAATAGTAAAGAAAATAATTACAAAATTCCAGGTGATGCCAATTATGACTCAGCTAGTCAATGAGGCGGAAAACTAAAATAATCAGTTTTCCTAAATGGCAACAGATTTTTAAAGAAACAAACACAAGTCTTCCTCTTTTCCTGTTTTAAACGTCAAATCATAGCCCACATTCAAAGCATAACGTCATGCCAGTTATATAACACAATTTAGCGTCATTGTATCAATTAAGAAGATTACTCATCACCTTCACTTTAGTCTGCGGAGGACTAAACAGATGCCGCTACCTGAAGACTCGCGATGTCACTTCAGCCGGTGCAGAAACAGCTGCAATATTCAAGCTTCTTTAACGATCGATTCGCTCCGGTGATGAGAACTGGACGAGTCCATTCTGAAGCGCGGGGGGCACCGATGCATCTACATATCGTGTCTGGGGGTTCACCTGACAAAACCAGACAGCAAAACGGTTGGGTGGAAAAGAACACGAGATAGAAGCGCTGCTGAAGTATATTGTACTGTGAGGGGTCGTTTTCTTTGCGGAAATTATTTGCATGCGTCGTCAGGTGACGCCCCCTTGGAGGTGGTGGTCTGGAGGTCTCGCTCACATGGGCAGACAAGCGTCCTGAGGCATCTGAAAAGAGGCTGCAGCTGCATGGTAGAATACACTCAGGCCCATTGTTTCACTCATTAGGGCGTCTCTTATGTAAAAACGGTTAACAATAGTGGTCATTCGTGCTTGGATCAGTGCCACATGCCAACCAAAGCACTGATTTGATAAATTATAGTATTAGTGATTAGATCACGTGACACGCCGATCATTTGAAGGTGAACATAAAAGTAAACATGCAAAATACACCCCTGATCTTTAACAACTACATGCATTTATTTATGGTCACATATTTATTTAATAGTTTAGAGGGTATCGAGATGTAAACAACACTGATTTTCAGTGCTGGGGGGAGGGGGGGGCGGGTATGACTTAAAATAGTATGAAGTTATTATTTTACATTAATCTGCTTCCATTTTCTCAGATAATTGTAATTGATTGGCTATCAACTGATATTGGTCAACACCATCAAATGTAAAAAAATTGTGACCTTATATATAAATATGGACAAATCTGGCATTTTAAGGCTACAGAATGGCTTCAGAGCTATTAAACTGTCAGATAGATAGATTCAGGCTGACTTATGCTGGCTACTTTTTCTAAATTTGACCAACAAGGCAACTGATGTGGAACTAAGAGAGTTTGCCCTGCTCAGAGAAAGACTGAGTGTTTGTATGGAGCTTTGCTTTGTTGTCATGGCGACAGAGCAAACCTGTCTCATTCATAGTTCTTGCCCACATAAGTGCTGACTGCACAAGATGGACTGAGAAAAATCAGACCCGATCACCAGCAGAGATTATCACTCGGCTTGAAGTGACCTTGTCCAGTGCCATCACTATAACCTTGAATCCTTGAAAGGGATGAGTCATGGTCATAAATCCCTGCGATATAAGCATCCAGAAGCTTTAATGACAACAAAATGAAGCCGAGTTTGTCTAAGGTTTGAATCTAAAATTGGGCCTCAAGTGCCTGAATAATTCAGTGTTTTGTAGGCTAGATTAAGAAGATTAGACTATTTCTCTATCACTCCCATTTTCTTTTATACTCTCTATACTTAATACTTTTATATTCACTATTAAAGAAGTTTTTTTTAAAACATTGAAACAACATTTAATGATTTTAAAAAGGTTAACAAAATACTTATAAATTAATGTCGAAATTTCAACAAGATTTATATGTTGAATCAGTATGTCTTCAATGACATACAAAGGAAATATCTACCTTTTTAATCATTATAATAATAATAATTATTATTTTTATATATTGTGATCATAAGGCCTCTTCAAAAATCTAATTGTCTATCATCATTAATAGGAATCTACAGCCCAGGTGCAGCCGAAAGTGTTGGGGTTTATTTTGTGATAATATCCAGCTGATTGTACATGATCCCGAATATTACACTGCTACTGCCAAAAAAGAAAATAAATAAGTGGATACGATGAAATATTGATTTAAGAATTATTTTATCATTTTACCTTTATATTATCTCAATGCTTCCGCTAATGAAAATAGTCCAATACAATGTACAAAATTATCAGCCTTGCAACAATACACAAACACTGCAACAACAGTAATATTAATACCGATGAGGTTATTTGATAACTGAATAGTTGTGTTTGTATGTAACAGAAGTTTGCTGAGTGATAGGAGAAATATAAAAGTAGCCATGGATGATGAATTAACCAATCAGAATCAAGTATAGCAGATTGCCATGGAATAATAGTAAATAATTAAGGAAAAAAACAATTAGTAAGCAGCACTCAGCCAAGACTAAACCAACATGATATTGTTTGTATATGTATCACAAAGCCAGACTAAAGCCAGCTGTGAGGCCGTTAGACCCTGCAGGAAAACACACGCAATGCTGTGAGAGTCAGCGACGCAGAAAGTAGTGCATGTGTGAGTAAAGTTCGTTTCGAAGGCAGACAGGTAAACTGTCCCGGTAAGAGGGCAGCGCCGCAGGCTCCTGCTGAGAAGTGTGAGAGGAGAGCAGATGGCAGAAAGGGCAGGAAAAAATCAGACAGAAGGGGGTTGCTGCTTTTTCGCCACAAAAAACAGGGCCGTAGCAGACAGCCAGCATGAGGTGGGCTAGAAAGACAGCGGTGATCCCTACACCAGCAGTCTGTGTGGCCACGACCACTGTTTACCATAACAGAGAACAATACAGAAAAGGCATGCAATGTTTCTCAACCATTGAAGATATAAAAGTATGATGCACTGTTTTGATCTGATCACTGTTTATTGTTCAGACTGAATTGACGATGTTCAGGAAACTTCTTGTGCACTTCAGTGTGTACGACCGTCATTCAAATGAACACATTACACATTACTAACTCCAGTATCAGACGTGCCATGGTAGAGGTTTATCTCTAGTCATTGTCATGCTGCAGGTTATTGTGATAATGAGTTACTGATGTTATAATTGTAGATATAGAGGTATACTGATTATGATACTGAGGGTATTAAACACTTACATGAATAATTGTACAGCATTCCTTCAGCATTACCTCACTATAGTTATACTGTCTGTACTATAAATTCTCAAGGGGTGCTAAATTCATCTATTAGTCCTAATATATTCCACCTGAAAAGGGACGGCATATAGATCTAGCAATTATGAGATCATATAAAAACATTTCTGTGCAATATTTCAGTTTCCGAAGCTTAAAAAATTATTTTTGTTGCCATACGCTTTACGCACTTAATATTTATAGATTTGAAGGTGCTTAATACTGGAAATTTGTTAATTACTAAAACAGCAGTTGAATCTAGATCTATATGAATATCTAGCTGATCGTTTAAAGCCAATGAGTATATTTATGGAGTTCTTGAATCTACGTTGTATAGTCCTGGAATAGTATTAAGCACTGTACATTTATGGTTTGTTTTGTATGTTTCGTATTCACATTATTACTGTCAGTTACCCATCGAGGCCGACAAACAGATTTGCACCACTTTGGCAGTCATAAAACAGTTCTTGTAATTGGCAGATCAGTCTACGGACTCCATTTCTGATGCATGAGATGGTGATTTATGAAGTACTGTAAATAAAAAACCCAGAAGACTTCCATATCAAACCACAGTCATTTCTGTTTCACAGTCTTTTCTCTTCTGCCACCGCCGCATTGTCAATTTGTATATTTCTAACCACAGTACTTGTATCCAGTCAGAGAAGTGCTTTGAAAAGTCCGCCAGAATGGTGGTCTATTAAAAGGCAATCTTCACATTTTTTGTCCCCATTTCATAGGCTTCCCAGTCCTGGTCCTGGAAAGCAGTGATCTGTCCAGGTTTTGGCTCCAGCCTGGGTTTTAACACCTGATTGATCAGGTAATCTCATCCTCTGACTGTAAGAAGTTAGGTTAAGACAATGATAAGTAGAGGATTTAGTGCCAGGCAGGAGGAAGACCAAGAGGACAACGCAGCCATCCAGAATCGGAACTAGCAATCCTTTCCACACTGGTCTTTTGCTGGTTTTACAGCACCGTCGTCGCTTCTCACACGCTGTTCTTGTCTGGGAGCTCGGCCTCGGGGGTGCGGGGGAAGTAGACGGTGGTCTTGTGCTCTTCGTAACGGTCAATGTGCTTGAGGTGGACGACCATGTGCAGGGCGTAGGCCAACACCAGCAGCAGAATCAGAGAGGTGATCAGGCCCATCAAGATTGCTGGAGTGAAGAAGGTTGCACAGTCGCTTGCTGAAGCAAACTTGTTGGACTGGACATTAAAGGCCTGGATCTGGGGGGGAAAAGTATAAAATAAATGTTTTCTGTCTGAGATAGTTAAAGATAACAAATACATTTTTTTTTATTAATTTCTGTTGCCAGTAAAGCATGGCACTGATGGAACTAATAAAGTATGTAAGTCAATGTAAGTCACTTTAGATAAAAGTGTCTGCCAAATGCATAATGCGTTTCAGGATAAAAAACCAGCCGGCCAATATAAATGACAATTATGCTTTATAAATTGAGAGAAGAAGAAATCGTGATCATGATTAAAATACGTTAAAATACGAGTTATGTGCAGCCCTATCTGAATTAAACCAACACTGAACTGACTTGATCTGAATATTGACACTATTGTTTTTAGAGCTGCTTTACAGAAGAATCTAAAATGTTTCCATAATTAATTCAGCTATTTTTTGACATGCTGTACCGTATAAAGTGCTATAATAGAAATAAGGTGACTTGACTTGATAATTGTAAATAAATGTACATTTTATTGGGTACCTGAACATGAACTAGCCCTGTGTTTATGTACAGTGCCGTGAAAAGGTTATTTTAAATTTTTTTTGCATATGTGTCACACTTAAAAGATTCAGATCATCAAACAAATTTTAATATTACACAAAGATAATGCAAGTAAATACAAAATGCCGTTTTTAATTTATTAAAGGAAAAAAGCTGTCCAAATCTACCTGGCACTACGTGAAAAATGAATTGCCCCCTCCTGTTAAATCATGAAAGAACTGTGATTAACCACATTATTTTAGAAAGCTGAGTTAAATTTCATTAGTCACACCCAGACCTGATTACTGCCAGACCTGATGAATCAAGAAATCACTTAAATAGAACCTGTCTGACAAAGTGAAGCATGCTTAAAGAGCAACACATCATGCCGCGATCTAAAGAAATTCAATAATAGATGAGAAACAAAATAGTTGACATGTATCAGTCTGGAAAGGGTTATAAAGCCATTTATAAGGCTTTGTGACTCCAGCGAACCACGGTCAGAGCCATTATCCACAAATTGAGAAAACTTGGAACAGTGGTGAACCTTCCCAGGAGTGGCCGGGCCTACCAAAATTACTCCAAGAGCACAACGGCGACTCATCCAGGAGGTCATAAAAGAACCCAGAACAACATCTAAAGAACTGCAGGCCTCACTTGCCTCAATTAAGGTCAGTGTTCATGATTCAAAATCTTTAGCTCATCTCTCAAACGTAAGTATTTATGCCAGTGAACATATCAGTGCCATCAGAATGAAAAGTCATTGTTCACAAACAAGATAGTCAAAATGCTAAGTCATGTTGTCAATATAACAGTGTGCTCTGTTAGTATTACCTGATATAAACTATGGCAACAGTTTGGATGACAGTTACTGTATTGAAATGCAGAAGACTGCACTTCTTATGCATGTCATATATCCATTTCGCAAATTTACACACTACTGTATGTAAGTAGTGTATTGATTGAAAGAGACTGGATAGGATTCACAGTTACCCTTTTTACTAGTAAAAAAACTAAGCACACATTACAATGTTATTGTGATATAGAAAAGAAAAAGAAATATGGGCACAAAGGCGAAAATACAAAATTACAAAGGCAAACACAGGAAACCCACCTCAGCCATTGTAATGCCATGATTGACAACATGGTCCACAGTGGCCCTTATTTCATCTGATATGCGCCTATGTCCTTGGTCTCTTCTGCCTTTTCCTCTGTTTTGCCTCTGTACCCTTCCACCATGCATCCTTACTCCTATTCCTCCTCTCAGCTGTTGATCCTGATCATTTCCTGGATGTTCATCGAATGTCAGAATTTGTAACTAGTGTGGTGTCCTCTGTCTATGCTTTCCAATTGAAGGTTCATGAGATGCACCTTTGAGCTATTTCAGAGAACTGGTTTATTATTGGCATGATCTACATTTCTCTTCATTAATGAAAGTCAAGATTCACCTCCACAATTCATGGCAAATTTACAAAAAGTCTAATAAAAATGTGTAGAAAATATGCTTTGACAGTTAATGACAACTAGATCAACCATTTTGCATTTAATTACTTATACGATGAACTAATGACTAGATGTCTTGGGGGTAAAACTATTGCACAGAGAACCATTTAATACATTTTGAGCAACATGACATTAGCAACTAATAATGTAAGAAACCGCAGACAAATGCACATAATCAATTGCATGAATGTACCAAAGCAATCGCAACTTGAAAAACTGTAAATTAAATCATTATTTCAAAACTGCATTTTGTATTTACTCGGGTTATCTTTGTGTAATATTACAATTTGTTTGATGATCTGAATCATTCAAGTGTGACAAATATGCAAAAAATGTGAAAAAATTAAATAAAAAAAAAAACAGGAAGGGGGCAAAAAAGAAATGTCTTGAAAGATATATTTATTTTTGAATATAGTTTATAAGATATAATTGTGAAATATAGTTTATAATAT